AAAAGTTAAAAAATTAAACTAAAACTATTAAAAATAAACAAATAGAGTAAGATTTTTTTAATATATGTTCTTATAGTATAAGTTAAGGATAATATATTTTTTAGTCATTAAATCATAATATTATAAAAAAATAAAAAAAAATTAATTTCAACATCATTGTCATATGTTTTAATTTAATTAGTTAATTATTAAAATTAAAATCAAATTTTATTTTTTATGTAACTTAAAAATTTTTATATTTTGGTCTAAAAGTAACTTAAATAATTAAAAATAAAAATATTATAGTTATAATATCAAATGATATTACAAATTTATAATATAATATATCATCATATAATTAATTTTTATTATTTAAAAATTTATTTATAATATCATATATTTACTTATTTGATGCCACACCAAAATTTATTTAATATCACCTATGGTTATAACTTATAATTTTAATGCCACACCATCACGAAGGACGTGGAAAGGGAAGAGAAAAACAAACATGTTCTTCTTTAGTTTAAAGAATAGTGGCCAATTATTTTTTTAGCTGCTTACCAAATATAAATTATTTTTTTAGCTACTTATATTATACTTTTATTAGGAAATTGCGCATCACTTTCATACGTAACTCATTGGAAATGGCTTTGCTCTCCCCTTCTATATATAGGATTAGGAGCGAACCGAGATTAGCACATAACATTTGTAGAAAACCTTTTCAGTATTTAAGTATGAAAATTTCTCTAAAGCCTTCTCTTTTTCTCTTCCAAATTTTCTTGTTTTCCTTTCTTCCATTGAAGATCATGGCTTCACCAAGAACACAAGCAGAAGCTCTTATACAATGGAAGAATAGCTTGTTTTCTTCACCACCTTCTCTAAATTCTTGGTCCACCAATAATATTGGCAATCCCTGCAATTGGACTTTTATCACTTGTGATAGCTCCACTGGAATGGTGTCTGAAATCAACCTCATCTGTTCAAACATCATTGGAACATTAGCTAAGTTCAACTTCACCCCATTTTCCAATTTGACCCGCTTTGATCTCCACAATAATAGTCTTACTGGATCAATTCCACCAACCATTGGCAGCTTATCCAAGCTCACTCACTTGGACTTGAGCAACAATAGCTTGGTAGACATTGTGCCAGTGGAGATAGGGCAGTTGATGGAGCTTCAGTATCTTAGCTTGTTTAACAACAACCTCAAAGGTAGCATCCCTTATCAAGTTAGCCATCTTCAAAAGGTATGGTACTTAGACCTTGGATGGAATCACTTAACAACTCCTGATTGGTCCAAGTTCTTGGACATGCCTCTATTAATTCACCTTGGATTTTCAAAAAATACATTGAAATCAGATTTCCCTTCTTTCATCATCAATTGTCGAAATCTTACTTTTTTGGACTTGTCAAACAATTACTTGACTGGACAAATACCAGAATTAGTGTTCACCAATCTGGTTAAGCTTGAGGCCTTCAATCTTGATAGTAATCTATTCCAAGGTTCACTATCATCAAACATTTCCATGCTTTCTAAGCTTGTAGCTCTTCAGCTAGGAGCCAACCAATTCAATGGCCCAATTCCTGAAAGTTTAAGTCTCTTGTCTGAGCTTGAAATTCTTGAATTGTATGAAAATCCTGTAGGAGGTATCATTCCATCTTCTTTCGGTAAACTAAAGAAACTAAAGGAACTTAATCTTCATTCCAACTCCTTCAAATCTACCATCCCTTCTGAGCTTGGTTCTTGTACCAATCTCACCTTTTTGGCTTTAGCAGGGAATCAACTCACTGGTCAACTACCTCTATCCTTCTCCAATCTAGTTCAAATCTCTGAGTTAGGTCTTTCTGATAATTTTCTTTCTGGTCAAATCCCATCTTCTCTTATTGGTAGTTGGACCCAATTGATCTCATTGCAGCTTCAAAACAATAGTTTTACAGGTAAGATTCCATCTGAAATCGGCTTACTAACAAAGCTAAGGATTCTCTATCTATATAACAACATGCTTTCAAACTCCATTCCTTCGGAGATAGGGAATTTGAAAAATCTTGTAGAGTTAGACCTTTCAGGAAACCAACTTTCTGGCTCAATTCCTTTAACTCTGTGGAGTCTTACAAACCTTCAAAAATTGCAGTTGTTCTTTAATAATCTCAATGGCACAATCCCTCCAGAGATTGGAAATATGGCATCTCTGCAATCTCTTGATCTCAACACAAACCAACTGTCTGGGGAATTACCAGAGAACATTTCTAGCCTTACAAATTTAGCTGCAATCTCTCTATTCACCAACAATTTCTCAGGTAGCATCCCTAAAGATTTTGGGAAATACAGTCCCTTTTTATTGTATGTGAGTTTCTCAAACAATAGCTTCTCTGGAGAACTCCCACCTGAATTGTGCAGTGGTCTTCTTCTTGAAATTATCACTGTCAATGACAACAAGTTCATTGGTTCATTGCCAGCTTGCCTTAAGAATTGTACACAGTTAAAAAGGGTTCGGTTTGATGGGAACCAATTTACAAGTGACATCACAAATGCATTTGGGCTGCATCCATTCTTGAATTATATTTCTCTTAGTGACAATCAATTTATTGGTGAAATCTCTCCACAATGGGGGCAATGCCGAAATCTCACCAATCTACAGATGGATAGAAATAGAATTTCTGGCCAAATACCTGCAGAGCTTGGTAAATTGAACGAGTTGGTTGTTCTTAGGCTTGACACAAATGATTTATTTGGAAATATTCCTGATAAATTGGGAAATTTAAGCGTGTTGTCCAACCTAAGTTTGAGTAAGAATCATCTAACTGGAGAGATACCTCAGGGTATAGGGCATTTGCAGAGACTTCAACTTCTTGATTTGTCAGGGAACAACTTGAGTGGGAGTATACCAAAAGAGATTGGAAATTTGAAAAATTTACTGAGCTTGGACTTGAGCCACAACAATCTATTTGGTAGCATCCCACGTGAACTTGGAAACTTATTTTCAATTCAGATCATACTTGATCTAAGCAGCAATTCAGTATCAGGAGTAATCCCCCAGGATTTGTCAAGGCTTACATCACTAGTGAATCTTAATGTGTCACATAATCATCTGTCTGGCACTATTCCAGCTAGCTTATCTAGCATGATTAGTCTCATGACAATTGATTTCTCCCATAATGAGTTGATAGGTCCAATTCCAACTGGGGGTAAGTTTCGAAATGCTTCCAGTGAGGCCTTTGTTGGAAACATGGGTTTGTGTGGAAATGTTGATGGATTGACCCCTTGTAGTTCAATTTCCAGCAACAACAAGTCCAATAAGAGTAACCACAGGATTCTTATTATTGTCCTTGTTCCTGTTTGTGCCCTTTTAGTTCTAATATCAGTTGCTGTCATGATAAAAATGCATTGTGTTTATAAGCAACTAAATGATGAGAAAGGCAAAAGTAGAAAAAGGCCTAAGAGTTATGAGACAATGATATGGGGAATGGAAAGGAAAGTAACTTTTGGTGAAATTGTAAAAGCTACTGAGGATTTTGATGATAAGTATTGCATTGGAAAAGGGGGATTTGGAAGTGTTTACAAAGCCTCATTATCCACCGGTCAAGTAGTTGCTGTGAAGAAACTCAATATACCAGATCCTAGTGATATCCCAGCTACCACTCGCCAGAGTTTTGAGAATGAGATTCGTGTTTTGACAGAAGTTAGGCATCGAAACATCATCAAGCTACATGGATCTTGTTCAACAAGGAACTGCATGTATTTGGTTTATGATTACATTGAGAAAGGAAGCTTGGCCAATGTATTGTACGGAGTGGGAGCAGAAGTGGAGCTAGGATGGGCTACAAGGGTGAGAATTGTGCAAGGATTGGCTCATGCCCTTGCATATTTGCACCATGACTGCTCTCCCCCCATTGTTCACCGAGATATCTCCTTGAATAACATCTTGCTTGAGTCAGAACTTGAGCCGAAGCTCTCAGATTTTGGCATCGCAAGGTTGCTAGATCCAAATTCTTCCAATTGGACAACAGTTGCTGGATCTTATGGCTACATGGCACCAGGTAAGGCTTGCATTTCTTAGATGCATGTTGATTGATAATGCTTCCTTGACTATGACATGTAACAAATTGTTCTTTACTTTGTTCTCTCCCTCTCTCTCTTTTTTTTTTTTTTTCTCTAGAGCTTGCACTCACAATGCGAGTGACAGAAAAATGTGATGTTTATAGCTTTGGTGTGATATCATTGGAAGTTATTATGGGAAGGCATCCAGGGGAGCTGCTGAACTCTTTATCATCATCAACATTTTCATTAGAAGACAAAGAAGTGCTTTTGCAGGATGTGCTAGACCCTCGACTACCATCTCCCACAGGCCAAACAGTAGAGGAAGTCAAGTTGGTCGTCAAGATAGGCTTCGCTTGCACGTGTACAGTGCCAGAGTCCCGACCTACCATGCGTTTTGTGGCACAAGAATTGTCAGCAAAAACACAAGCTTGCTAGGCAGAACCACTAAAGACAAAAACTATTAGCAAGCTTAATGGCCATTTGAAATAGAATGAAAGATACACCGTGTGTGCTGGTTTCAATTTGGTATGCATAGACATGCCAATCAAATCCTAGGTTTGATATTTATTCTCTACTTAGAAATAAGATTTTTGTAAAATACTGTGTAGCAAAATGTATTAGATAGCACCTCAATAAGGATCCCTTGCTCTATGCTGTTTAGAATTGGTGTACCTTTGCTCTGTTTTTCCGTAGGGGATATAATCCGGATATGTTTTATAACATGATTGTTTATTGAAACCATTCAACTTCCATTAAGTTTGTTTCTTAGTTATGAGCGATATAAAAGTAGAGTAGATTCTCAAAAATCAACGCATGTACAAACTTAAAACCACGCGGATATGTAGCCGCAAAACGGGTAGGAAACCAAGCCGTGACGCTATTGTGCGTCTACTGTTAGAGAAACGAAGGAGAATTTATGGGGCTGGCTTGTTGGCATGCGTTGTGTGCGTGGTGATTCCGTAGCGAAGTGCTTGGTTAGCATGTGGCATGGTTGGTGATGGTGTATTCTGCTGGAGATGAGAAGCTAAATATGGAAGGGTTGGAACCAATTGAGTAAATCAAGAGGCTTAAGGGAAAGAATCAAATAAAATGCTTTATCATTCATTTTTGCTTTAAATGATAAAGTAACTAAAAGGACTAATAGAAAATTAATAATAATAGAGTAACTAAAAGGAAACCAAAAACGAAAAATTCGTATTTGGAAAACCTAAAATAACGAGAGGCAATTTTTTTTAAAGAGAATTTAATTACGCAAATTATATATATATATATATATTAAAAACATAAAACATTTAATAAGAATTGCTTAATAATATATTTGACTTAAAGAAAATGGAGAAAGAATAAATTCTTTATTTAATTATTCAAAAAAATTAAAAAGGGAGGAAAAGAAAAAATTTTCTTCATTTATTTTTTGAATTTAATTACTTATTTAAATAAAAAATAAATAAAAAGATATAATTTCCCCTCCTCTCTCTCTTTCCTTCTTCCCAACTCAAACATAATTTAAGGGTATGTTTGGTATAACGGTTAAAATTTAATGGATAGCGGATAGCGGGTAGTGAATAGCGGATAGCGATAGCGGGTAACGAGTAACAGTTAACGGATAGTGGATGACGAATAACAGAAAATAAGTAGTGGATGGTAAATAGCGGATTCGATAAATATAACTATTTAACTATATAATAGTTAGCGGTCGTTGTTTAACATTAAATAATTAATAAGGACATGTTTAAAAATAAAAAAATGTATTTTTGAAAATATTTTTATTTTTTATTATTAAAATTATTAAGTTTATAAAAAAATAATAAGAAAAGAAATAAATAAAATTAATTATAATAATGTAATTACACTCTCATTTTTATTTTTATTTTTAAAAATTATATTATTTTTAAATAAAAAATTAATCATTTTGTTTAATTAATAAATTTTGTTTTTTAAGATAATATATTTTTAATTATAAATTAATGTACAAAAAAATATTATAATTACTTAATGTTATTGAAGGTAAAAAAATAAAATTGAAATTTATTAGATAAATATTAATTAAAAAATGTGACAAAAAATTAAAAAATTAAAATGGATAAATTTGTTAATAAAATTAAAAAATTCTAATTCGCTAGCAGTCTAGTACAAAAATCTACATAAATTAATTTTTTCAATCCATTAGCAGTTTGAATCTTAATCGCTATCCGCTAGTTTCAAACCGCTTAATAAAAATTTTATCAAACATTTTATTTGTAACGGTTTCAAAATATATAAATTTACTAAATATTTGTATTTAACGATTTAAATAAAACCATTAATCGCTATCTCAAAATCATTATACTAAACAGATCCTAAGTTAGGAGACAACCAGGAATTTATGGCTTGTTTAAACAGTAAAGCTCTGACACCACTTTTAAGGTTTAAGGTATTAAAAGGCAAGACGATAGATTAAAAAAATAAACATTTTATTACAATTGAGAGAGGTAAAACGTTATACGTAATAGCCTTTATATAGGCTTTAAAATAGACAATATAAAATATAAATCATTACATTAAAATACGTAGGTATAATTTGTAAAATGACCCAAACTGAATTATTAATAATAGTTAGTCTTTAAATTTGTATACCAAATTTACTCACAAAACTTACTCACAAGTTCTCATCAACGTGAGATTTGAAATATTACAATTAGAATCAAACATAGTATTTGATTAATCAATCATTAACGTGATTGAATCTCCTAATTCCTAACCGTAATGACCAGTGTTCCTCGTGATTTTCTGCGTCGCCCCAGAACCATGAGAGTACAAATGCTGCATGCCTGTAAAAGAAAAATGCCACATACATAGAAGGCTCAGGACCTTTCTCTAAATAATCATAATATTCATAACTACATATTAAAATCTATTTCATTGGGCATCAACCTGAGATCCATCAGCTTCAAATAAAATTTAATTAAAAGAAATTTACTACCATAATGCACGATAAGCTCCGATCATTAATCACAAACTCAAGTTCAACATTTCAACTGGTTCATGTGCCACTAAATAATAAATCCTTAAATCTTCAGATCATAAAAGAAATCTCCAAGCTATTAACAGACTTCTCAAATTAAAAGTCATAACCAGACTAAACTAAACCAAACTCTTATTACATAACCAAGGTTAAACTACATAGAAATTTAAGATGCGTTTAGAATTACTGTGAAGTGCTATAACTGTGATTGTGTTGAACCATACTATGTTATAATTGTAATTAAAAGTTATTTTTGTATTTGATTATTTATTTTTTAAAAGCATTATGAATGAAATATAATAGATTTTATTAATTATTAATTAAAATTTAAAAGATATTGTAAGATATATAATTATTAAAATAAATAATATTTACTATTTTTAATAATTTAAGATTTTTAGATTTGTTATCATTATCAAAATATTATAAATTATGATTTAATTAAATTATACAAAATTAGGTTTTAATGGGTAATTTTGTAATTATATTAAATACTAGATGTTTTCCACAAAAGCAATCAGAAAACTCCAAAATGAAACTTCTAACTTTATATATAAAATTACTATAAATTTGTTGTGATTTTCTGTATCTTTTAAAAATAAAAATTTGAAAAAAATTTATCGAATACACATATATCTAAAAGTATTATATGGTTACACGAAAAGCTCCCAACTACACCCCTAATCACGCCTTGCCCCACTGTGCCCCGTCATCTTGCCTCTAATTAGTACTTGAAAATGTTATTTGCAACTGAGTGCAACTTAGTAAAGAAATAAGATCATGACAAGAATATGCAGGTGTGGGTATGGCCACCATTTGTTTTGTTAAGGCCACCAAAATTTGACTGATGTTTGTAATTTTTTTCTTAAATATATAATTATGATGTTTGAAAATATCAATTTATATATTTATTTCAATTTGTTAAGTAATAAATATTAGTTGTTTCATCAGTTATTAACTGTTCTTACCAATCAAAGTAAATAGAAACAATATATTTTATGCAGTCTGGTTGCCTTAACAAAACAAATTGTGGCCATAACCACACCTGATTATGCATGCTAAACATGTTCAAACTTTCAAGCGCTTAATGAAGACATGTAACCAAAACTAAAACTTAAAACAGATTTATCATGTATAAAATATCATGACGAAATATATCTTTCAGGTACAAGTACAGGAGGTCTGCCACTATAGATCATGCATGAAACAAGAATATCAGGACACCAGCTAGCTTCGTTGTGTAACAAGCAAAATAACATGTTGACATGGCCAATGCATAGCCCCATTGGCAACCGGGCATAATACAGGATATTTATGCCAATGCGCAGCCTCACTGGCAACCAGACATAAATCAAGATATCAAAGCCAATGCGTTGCCCTATTGGCAACCAGGCATATAACAGGATACGTGATCATCATGGGCAGACAAAATTAGTTTTAGCTTGTTTAAAACAGGAATATCATGTTTCGCAGTCCAGCATGAATAATCTTTGGCAAGGTTAGACCATCAAGCATGCATAACCATGAATTTAATTAAATCTAGTAAGGCATTGCCTAAATTGTAGTTTCACAAAAGAAGGATTAAAAAAAGAAAAAAAAAAAAAACTGAAATGATAGTTTGACCAAAGCATACGTGAAAATGTGCGTGAAATAGAAATTTAATAGCCAAACATGTAAAAAGCTTTAAGATGGTTATGGTTAAAATAGGAATTTGGCATAAAAATGTATTTTCTTGTCAAAACAGGTAGTCATGTAACTTATTTCCTTATCTCAATTCTAAGCAAGCAAACTTCCTACTCAAGGAAGTAGAACTATTTTGAAACCTATCATAAAACAAAGATGCCCTAAAATTATTAATTCAAGCCATCCTAAAAAAAATATTCATCTCAAGTAAGAAATCAAGTAAATAACTAATCATCCAACATCTACTATTTACTTCCATTACGGTACCAATTCTTGCACCTTTCAGCACACTTCTCTCTTTCTTTTTCCCCTTTTTTTTAGCTAAAAATATCAAATTTAACAACTTTAACCGACCTCTTTATCAGGCTCCTTCGATCCTCTTTCTTTTACTCGGCCACCAAAAATAAACCCCTATTCCCATGCAATCAATTCAACTTCAATTAATTTAATTCTTTCTAAGCTCCTTTAAATCCCCCTAAAAGTAATACTAATAATCCAACACTTGATCTTCATGGTCACATGCACAAAACTTGTAAACAGCCAAATATATATATATATATATATTATATACATATATATATATATATATTCAATTTCTTTTAACTTCAATTCTTTCCACTAACAATTCTAATTCCTTGATTCATATCCTATTCCAACCATGACATCACAGCAGCCCCACGCATTTCAGGGTAAATAAATTTATAAGCATGTGGTCCCAAGTAAGAGCAACCAAGAATCAACAATCTCTGTTTTTTTGTGTTTAATCCAGAAGTTGCCAATACAAAAAACCAAAACATTGCAGCAAACTCACCTTGTAAACAGCAAGAAATCAACACCCAACAATACAGCAAAATCAGGTTGCACTAGCAGGGACCAGGCCAAACTTTGAACCAAAAGGGCTGCAAAACTCGGGCCCAAGGACAGATTTTTAAGGGCAAATACTGAGTGCATCTAGGGTTATTAAGGCTAAAAGGTTACTATTAGAATCTTTGTTTTGCAGTTTAAATTGTACCAAACTGCCAGTAGGATGATAATAAGCACACATAACTAGGGTTCCTTGATAATAAGCACCATAAATAAATCCCTTATGATATGATGATATAATAACCCAATATCAACCAGGGTTATTTCGCTTTTCCACAGAAATTTAACAAGCAGACTTACAAAGTCCCAGCAGCACTTAGGAATCTCCTTTGCACAAGGAACATGATAACTTCTCTTGCAGGATTTCACATAACAGCCTAGTGCTGCTCCCTTCAGCCCACATCAACTGCACTTGAGCTTTGAACCCCCAGCCAATTCTGCCTTTAGATTCTTGACAGATTCACCAGCATGGTACACTTGTGGTGCCCTGTGTTTCCAGGTGTTATTACATCTTCGTCAAATAGAAAGAGAAATGAAATGTCAAAAGTGAAACTAACCTAGCACACCATGATCACATTTTACTGGAATTTGGTCCTATAGCAAAAACCCATAATATCCAGCTCATTCAAATTCAAGCAATCAGAAATGATAGATGAAATACCATTCAATGCATGAGCTGTGTACATGTATAACGTTTGAACGGTTTGCCTCATCTCCTGCCACTGCAATTCCAGTTCCATTAACATAATGTAGCATTGGTCCCGTAACCTGGAAAAAATTTTAAGAACAAAGGAATCGGCAAAATTCACACAGATACATGCACATAGAAAAATCAATTTATGATATTTTTACACACATTTACCAGAAAACAGAACTTTTGAAGAAAAATAAGAATCAAGTGATGTGCAGCAAACTTTACCTCTGAGACTCTAGAAGGCTGGCAAAATCCACAGATGGCTGTATTTGCCTGCATCTCTTCACTAGCAGGAAGCACCACAGATTTAGTTTCCAATTTGCAGTTGGAAGTCACCAAAGTTTCAGTTTGCAGAATGGCCTGCCCATGGTTAGGACTTTCTGCAGCCATATCCAGTCGTCCATGGTTCAGTTTCCCTTTTTGTTTTTGGGTCCCCATAGTGACCTCCAATTTCGGAGGCAGAAACATCATGAAACACCCATCTTGTCATATCAAAGATTCTCTTTGTTGGATGCGTTTTTGGACTCTGAAAAGGCATGGAGATATATTCTATAAGTCAGACGTAAGCAACTATAGTACCTATGTTCTTTGTAACAGTACGTTCTTTGTGACAGTACAGACCAAACATTACTCAACTCAGATAGACAAAAGACATGGATAAATTTCCCTAATCAACAACTACTGTCAACCAAAGTAAGTTACAGGGCTACAGCCCATATCAGCTTTCTTTTGTAGACTGCCAATTTGGCACTTGGAACATCAAATAAATTATTATGGTGCTTTATCAAAAGCAAGCTAAATACTTACAAGATCACTACTGTCATTGTCAGAGCCCTTAATATCGCCAATTGAAGGAGGGCTTCCCATCAATGCTTGTTCAACCTGATTCATGCGTGTTTCCCCATTCCCAGACTCTTGAGAAGCTCGTGCCTGGGAACTTGGCAATGGCAAACCAGGATTTGCAGCACCAGTATATTGATCTCGACTCCTAGACATCTTAAATTCTTTAGGTAGAAGATCCTTTTGCACGCTGCATTTATCTTTTATGCCACTTTTAACAACCCCACTGTTAATAGAGTCAGACTGACTGGCATGGAATGTAGCATCCAAACTCTTAAAGATTGACACAATGTTCTCCATGAAAGGCACATGCCTAATATCTGCCACCCAGAATCATTTCTTCATTAACTCCAGTTGCAAAAGTAAATTTAAATCCATAGCATAACATTTTTCATACAGATCTAAAGAAATAAATGAGGCAAAATATAGGAGAAAACATAATTACTCCCAATCAAAGATAAGAGCAGCCAATCAGCTGAACAACATAATTCCTAGAAATATTTCTCAACCAAAATTAAACAGAAACCATCAACCCAATCTTCATTGCCAATCATTCAAATTCCTTTCAAAGTCATTGCATTAAAAAATAAGGAAAACAAATTAACTAATAATATACTATACCTTGATTAGCAAATTGGACTTTGCAGAGAGGGCATTCTAAGTCAAATTTCGTTGATCTGACAAAGCACGCACTGCAATATCAAAAGAAAAACACAAAAGCCAGAAAGCTTAATTGAGAAAGTAGTGAAATCCAGAGTTCAAAA